AGATGATAGATAGCTAGATGACAGCTAGATGATAGATAGCTAGATGATAGCTAGATGACAGTTAGATGATTGATAGATAGATGATAGATCGACGATAGATAGATCAGACATTCAAATAGAGAGACAGATGGATGTCAGAATTTTAGGGTAGGCTAAGTCAGGAAAGAGACACCACAAGGACTACTAGAACTCTATTGTTATAGGGTTTAATTATAGAATCTTGAAATCCTGCCAGAATTTCCTTTGTCTCTCTTGTACCATAGAGCTTTGGTTTTCAAACATTTTGGTCCTCTACATTCTTAAAAATGATTGAGGACCCTGAAGATCTTTGGTTTATGTGTGCTGTATCTATCATTATTACTGGTATTAGAAATCAAAATGGAAAAATTGTAAATATTTATTTGACTTCATGGACCCCTTGAAAGGGTCTCAGGGACCCCCAGGGGTCCCCAGACCACATTTTGAGAACCACTGCCATAGAGTATTAAGCATGGTTGTCTTGAGTCTTTCTTCTACCTACTTCTATTTCAGGATGAGGTTTTGTTTCTTGTCTCTTACCTGCTAATGTATTGCATTATATAGTCTTGGGTTCATTGGATTCACAATCCAAAATACTAAAAAGGTGTGGAAACACAAAGTGCTGCTCCTGGGTATATCATTGTCATAATCATCTAGCAGACAGTTGCACTCAGAAATACAGTTCCAGAGAAAGAGCATTACAGGAATCCAAGGAATTTTACATGACATAAAACTGACATGAAAATTGTCAGATTAATTTGGAATATATATTTGGAGTGTGTGTGTGTTTCTCTGTATGATTTAATTATTTTATTTTATTAGTTGGTGCCTACTATTTAGTTCTGGCCTCAGCACCATGATGAAGTATTTTTTTTGGGCGGGGGGAATGCATCCCAATAACCCAGCAGTGGAGGACAAGATGTAGAAGATCTCCACAGCCACCATGGCTTTTCCGCGGTGCTGAGATATCTTGGAAGAAAGGACAGCCACACACTGCAGAAAGCCAACATACTGAATGTAATAAACTTGGCTTCATTAAAACTGTCAGGCAAATTACGGGCGAGATATGCCACGAGGAAGCTGGCAATAGCCAAGAAACCCAGGTAGACCAGGACACAATAGAACATGAGGACGGAGTCTTCACTGCATTGCAAAATTATGGTTTCCATAAGGGAGTGCATGTCTAAGTCAGGGAAGGGAGGAAAGGTTGCCAACCACAGGGTGCAAAGAGCTACTTGAAGAAAAGAAGCAGAAAGGACAATGGAAAGGGCCAATCTTTTCCCCACCCATTTCCTCATTGTAGAACCTGGCTTAGTAACCATGAAAGCCACAACCACAGTGATGGTTTTGGCCAAGACACAAGAAACAGCCACTGAGAAGATGACGCCAAAAGCTGGTTGCTGCAGAAGGCAGGTGACTTTCCCAGGTTGGCTGAGGAATAAAAAGGAAGAGAGGAAGCAGAGCAAAAGAGACCCTAGGAGAGTGTAAGTGAGGTCCTGGTTGTTGGCTTTTACTATGGGAGTATCCCTGGATTTAATAAAAGTTCCAAGTATCCAGGCTGTTATCAAGCCAAAAGCAACAGCAGCTGATGCCAAAGAGATCCCTAAAGGTTCCTCATAAGACAGGAAAGTTGTTCTTTTGGTGATGCAATGATCTTGCTCCTTGCTTAGATACTGTTCTTCAGGACATTCGAAACAATCTTCCATCTGTAGAGTAAAAGTAAAAAGAAAATTCTGAGTCCTTCCAGTTTATCACCAACTTTTAATTATCATGCTTCCAGTTAAAATGGTGGAAGAAGCAGGAGCTTTAGAGCCACTGTCCCTTTGATTTTATGTTGTTTGCATGTATGTGAGGGATGTTGGAATGGTACCAACCCAGTACTTACCTGAAGGGAGGTTGAATTGTTTGGATTGCTGGATTGAACCCCTTTGTCAAATTTGGATTTTCCTGGCCAGGGAACTTGAGAAGGAGGATGCCAGCACTTGCTGTCTTGTGGTGCTGGCCTGGCTGTTCCTGGGGATCCACTGCTGTGGTGTGGTGGATTGCAGAAGAAAGGAAGGAGGGGGCACATTCCAAGAAGGGCAGAAAGACAAAAGACAACATCGTCCAGAGCAGGAGCATGGAAAATGCAACTGGTTTAGAATAGCCACTCCCTAGTATCTCCTAGAATATACAGTGGTACCTTGGATTACGAACGCCTCTGTTAACGAACTTTTCGGGTTACGACCAGCTCCGGCCACAAAAATTTACCTCGGTTTGCGAACTCTGCCTCAGAGTACAAACAGGATATGCGGCCATTTTCCCTCCTGTGACACAGTCCGCGGCCATTTTCCTGCCCCTGACACGTGGTCCACGGCCATTTTTCCGCCCCTGACACGTGGTCCGTGGCCATTTTCCGCCCCTGACATGTGGTCGTAGAGAGGGGGACTCTCCCTCCAAGCAATAGCCGCCTCCCTGTCCTCCATGCCAGAACAGATTAACGGTAATTTCATTGAACCTTATGGGGAAATTTCCTTCCAGTTGCAACCAATTCAGAGTGTGACCAGAGTCACAGAACGGATTACGTTCGTAACCCGAGGTTCCACTGTATCCACTAGTTGCAGTAGTACTGATTTAGTCTGGCAAGATTTGGCCTACACAGTGTAAATAATAAAAGAACTGAACTCAGTTGGACTGTTTCCCTGTTGTTGTTGGGCTGGGCCTGACATCAGGGGACCTGTTCAGGCTGCTTGGGCTGTTTCCTGGAGGAGGAAGAGGTTGGGAAATGGGCGAGAAGACCACCGTGCTAACTGTGTCTGCCGTTTTTCTGAACCGGGTAGCTTTTTTTACTTTGGAGGCCAAGTTTTTGGACTGACCTGGCTGCTGAAGGCTCCTCCACTCTGAGGATTGCTGAAGAAGACTGGGGGCTTCTGCTAGAATTGAAGTGACTCATCTCTCTCTTACTTCCTCTGGGTGAGAACCAGAGGTGAACCTGGTGTGGGGGTGCATGGGATCAGGGCCTCTCCTGGCTGGTGGAAGCTGCAGGGGAGGGGTATCCTTGGATGCGAATGGGTGTAAGTGTGAGTGGGCTGATTCCTCTCTCTGGGTGAGAGTCAAAAGAGGAATTGATGAGGGTGAATGAGGAAGGGAGCCCTGCCTGTTCATGGGAGCAGTGTGTGTGTGTGCGTGTGTGTGCCTTGTTTGTAGTGTGTGTGTGCGTGCGTTGTAATAGAGTGGAGTGGGGAGGTGGCTGCTAGGTACCCTGTTCCTTAAATTGGGCTCTAAGCATCAGTTGGGATTGTTGCTGTTGTACCAGCCTCCCTGCTGCCCAGCAACTTCCCTGCCTGAGCTCCTTGACGCCATTTCTGGGTTGGCAGTGGAGTTCCCCAGACTTATTGTCTTGGGGGACTTTAATCTACCTTTCCTGGGAATGGGGTCTGTAAGAGGTTCTGGGCCTATCCCAGGTCATCCAGAGTCCAACTCGGGATAATGGTCACACTCCGGATTTGGTATTCCTGTTGGAGCAGTGGCTATGTGATCTGAAATTGGGGGAACTTTTGGTGTCCCCCATGTCATGGTCAGACCATGCCCTCATTTCTATGGGCTTCTCTTGCTCTTCTACTCACTGCAGGTAGGTTGGACCCATTAGATTGGTCTGCCCCCAGTGACTGATGGTCCTTGATTGGTTTCAGAGGGGGATGGAGGTTATCCCTGTTGGTCTGCTGCATGGTCCATCTGAGGCCCTGGCTGCCACTTGGAATAATGGGGGATGAGGCCTTGGAACAGATTGCGCCTCTTGGGAATCACAACACTTCCTGTGGTTTACAGAGGAACAGAGGGAGATGAAGCAGGAGAAGAGAGATCTAGAGTGTTGCTAGTGCTCAACAAAGGACAGACTCGACTGAACACTGGTTAGAGCTGCTATTAAGGCCTACCTTGTGGCGGTAAGGGCAGCGAAGTGCCAGTAGTTCTCCACCCTTATTGTATCTGACACTTTGTAGCCCTGTTTCAGGTGACACGGGCCCTACTGGGTAAGGGGGGATTGTGAAGAACCTCTTACAGTGTGCAGTTTGTGCAGCACTTGTTGGATAAAGGTGCCTGGGGGACTGCCACCCACCCCCACTCCCCTGACACAATCCAGAAGGATACCATGGCTGATGATATCGAAAGCTGCTGAGAGGTCAAGTAGGGCAAGGAGAGATGCACAACCTCCACCCCTCCCAGGCCAGAGATCATCCAGAAGTGTGATCAATGTGGTTTCTGTCCCATACTCAGGTCTGAATCTGGACTGAAAAGAATCCAGATAATCTGCTTCATCCAAGGCCTTCTAAAGCTGTTGCACAACCACCTTCTCAACCACCTTGTCCAAAAAACAGAGGTTCGATATTGGACAAAAGTTCTCCAATATGGTGGAATCCAAAGATGGCTTCTTGAGGAGAGAGTGCACTCTTTAAGTGGCAATGGAACAACCCCCTCCCTCAAAGAAAAATTAACCACTGCTAGAGTGCACTTACCACAACACCCTGCCATCCACTTTCACAAGCCAGGAGGGGCCTGGATCTAAAGAGCAGGTGACTGAGTTCACAGCTCAAAGGACCCTGTCCACTTCCTTGGGTCCAACAGGTTCAAATCATTCCCAGATAACTGGGCAAGACTCCACCCCAGGCATCTCCTCTGGACCTACAACAAAACCAGCATCTGTGAGGGTTCTTTTTTATCCAGGGACTGGACACACCACAGCATAGCAAATCTGTATAAAATGCTTTATTGCAGCACACACCTTCCCTAACAACTACAGGCTATTGTTTTTCCCCCAACTAGTGCTTGCAAAGTGATACACAGTCCTTTATACTCAAGCTTTTAGTACTCATTTCAAACAAGAGTCCCAAAGTCTATAAAGTAGCATACAACCTTTAAGCCTTTTTTCCAACTGTTCTTGTACTGGGTAAGATAAGGTGCTGCTTCAGTGTGCTTGTTCGTTTTCTAGTTGCTACTGAGCTCATAGCAAAGTTTCAAGCTCCAGGCAGGACTCCCACCAATATATGCTGCTCACCACAACCTGTAGACTTGGTAGTTGGATAGTAGTCCTCTTGTCTGTTTTACATGTCTCCTGTGCTTCCCCGTCTCTAGACCATTTGCTTGTCACATTTCTTACACACACACCCTCTACACACACCTCCTCCACCACCCTGTCTTAATGCTTGCTTTTCTAAACTAAGATTCTGATGGGGTTGGGGCTGTTTGTGGATGTCTGCACCTCCTTGAAAACTCCAAGGTGTAGCTCGTTATCACAGGTAGCTGGACAGCTGGCCTGGATGCTTGTGAGTATTCAGGGAAACTGTGATGGAGGACTTGGATGAGGAGGTTCAAGGACAAAAGCATTTCCTCAGCCCACAGCCTGAACCTGGGAAAGCAAAGAGGATGAGAAGTTCCTCTCTACGAAGGAATTTGTAGTGCTTAGTTGCAGGCTTTGGGAGTTAGAGTTAGTCTGGTGAGATTCTGTCTAGCAGGTGGAAGCTAATAAAGTAACTGAGCTGTTCCAGAACTCTCTCATGGAGTTTCATGGGCTGAACCTGACAGAAAAGAAGGAAATGGGATGAGAAGTGTTTCTGCCTGGCTGCAGCTTACCTTTCCAAGGCACAGATAGCAACTCCAACTTCACTTCCTCACAGCATCCAACTGCGAATGAATCTGAGCGATTTTATCCAACAGATGCTGAGCAAATTCCTATGCATGCTCCTGCAAAAGGTGCTCCGGGCCCCCTTTACCCAAGAGGGCTTGTGCCACCCAAAACAGGGCTGCAGGGCAGCAATCTGTGGATGCAATAAGGGCAGAGAAGTACTTTATGTGAAAACCCAGCTCTCTGGAAAATGCTCGAATGCATTTGGAGGTGGGAGGAAAGGGGAAAAGAGGACATCCAGCAGCAAGATGGATGGAGTCAGTTATGGTGGCAATGAATGGACCATTGGGAGACTTGAAAGAACAGGTTAGTGATATATCATCATGGAGAAAATCTATCTAGGTGGTTGCCGATTCGAAAACAGCTTGATGTCAGATTATCCATCCATCAATGAAAATAATTTAAATGTTAAAAATTGACCACAAAAGAAAGTTCTGGTGATAGGACCTAACTATTTTCCTTATCTTGAGGAAATCATAGAAAGAGTTGTTTCAAGCAACTCTGGGAGGGTTAAACATTTTAAATAGCCAACAACCACTAAATAATGTTTTGAAAAACACATTGCACTTCAGGTGACTCAAAATATGCAAACACAGCATCAAGATGGGTACATCCAAAAGTCCAGTGCTGATAGGAAATATCAGGACTTGGGCTCCTTCTGCAGTGATTTTGGGGGCAGAGCTATACTTAGCCTTAGATTATGCTAATTGTCTTAAATTAAGATAATGTAATTAAGATGTGGCAGGAGAATAAGGAAATTTGGATTCATTACATTAACATTTACATTGGATTAAAATCTGATCAGGGCTACACAAGAATGGAACAGAGAGCCATTTGTTATGACCAGCATTTTTTATTAAATTCATTTGTATATAAAAGTCTATCTGCAACCTAATAAAAATGCAATCACGTTGGTCAAAGGATATCATCCTTAACTCTTTCTCAAGTAGAGGTTGTAACTTTCTTTCATTTGATTCAACGATTCACTGAAATCTACAATCTGAACAGGAGATCCAAACGGTTCCCCTATGATGCTATGTTAAATACATGTCCATAAAATGTTATTTACAGTAGCTTTTTCCAATATTTATGCAGTGCTTTATGAATTGAAACTATAAAAACCATGAAAGTCACAGCTGTAAACATTGGACATCCTTTGAGTCAATATATCAAATCTCCTAACAGTAAGCAAGAAAGCTAGATTCTCGAAGTCCTGTTAGCTTGGTTTGTTGAAAGGGAGAAAAGGTCAGGTTAAAGAACCTTTCAAAATGGTTGAAAATGCAGCAGTATCAGCACGTCTTTTGCAATGGGTGACCATAAAAAATCTAAATAATAATACTAATCCTCCATAAATCTTCCTGTGACAGAAATAACTGTATTTTATAGAAGTTATAACAACTTCTATATGTTTCCGGTAGACAGCAAACAGTCATTTTATTCTCTTTTGTGTGCAATTTATCATAGCGTGAAAGATCACATGAGGTACTAATTCCTCTTTATTAGTTGCTCCCTGTGGTTGAGCTCAGGCCTGAAAACAATGATGTAGCATTTTGGCA